CTCCCAAGTAGCTGGGACTACAGGTGCCCACCACAACGCCCGGCTATTTTTTGGTTGCAGCCATCATTGTTGTGTGGCGGGCCTGGGCTGAATTCAAACCCACCACCTTAGGTGTATGTGGCTGGCACCTTAGCCACTTGAGCCACAGGTGCCGAGCCAAGCCTAAGGGTTTGAGGTTGTTGTGAACTGTGATACCACGGCACTCTACTGAGGGCAACATAGTGAGACTCTGTTTCAAAAAAAAAAGGAAAAGAAGTTGAGGTTGCTGTGAGCTATGATGCCAGAACACTCTATGGAGAGTGACAGAGACTGCCTCAGAAACAAAAAAATTAGCTCACTGTGGCTCAGTGAGTAGGGCGCCGGTCCCATATATTGAGGGTGGTGGGTTCAAACCTGGCCCCGGCCAACCTGCAACAAAAAAATAGCCGGACGTTGTGCTGGGCACCTGTAGTCTCACCTACTCGGGAGGCTGAAGCAAGAGAATCGCCTAAGCAACCAGGAGGTTGCTGTGAGCTGTGACACTACAGCACTCTACCAAGGGCAATAAAGTGAGACTCTGTCTCTTAAGAAAAAAAAAAAATTAGCTTCCTCCAATTGGCAGCTATGTCCTAGAGGGTACTGGACTTACCTCGGGATGTGAGCGGGGGCACAAACCATTCCGCGTTACATCTCAAAAAGAACAGAGTATGTTCAGCTAACATCTGGGTATCTGTGACATCATGACATCACTATCACACAGGTTCCAATACGCTAGATAAAGGTGTGTTATTACAGTTATAAAGCTGATAATTGCACCTGACTCATCACTTATCAGTTTCTAGGAGCCACTGTCAACTGATAGTGTGGACAAAATATTGTGGTACTCTCCTTCTGTAGGTTAATAATCTTGGGGAGGAGATATTAAGGTGTTCTCACAGGACAGTGTCAAGCCCAAGAGGGTCATTCACTGCATGATGTCTCATTCTTTGAGAACTTGTGTGCTGAGTGTTGAATCTAAACTCCTCAGGCAGTTAGCCTGACTCCAAAAAAACCTAACTTTCTCTTGCTTCTAGGCCCTGCATACACCATTCCTTCCTCCCACCTCCCTGTGGTTGTAGCGTTCACTCCCCTTCTTCTGCAGGCAATACTCTGGTTTTCTTTTGGGGAATCATCTACTCTCACTTTTGGTCCTCGTGGTTTCCGGTGTGGTTCACGTAGCTTCTGTCTGCGGGGGCAGGCACGTGGCCTAGCTTGGCCAATCAGACCATGCCTCTTTCTCCAACTACAGTGATTGGGTCAGGGCAGAGCACCTCACTCAAGTCAGTTCATAGACAGTCTTGACTCAAACTTTCAAATTATTGAGAAAGAGGCATGCTCTCTTTTTGCCTCCAATGCTGAACTTGTAGAATGAAAGCTGGAGTGGCTGGTGGCTGTTACTGTGGTTTCACCACAAGGTGAGAATATGCTTAGGAAAGCAGCCACTGTAGAGGAAGGCTAAGCCAAGAAGAGATGGTTTCAGACACATTCCTGACAATGTTGCCTGAACACCTGGAAGCAGCCCTACCCTGGGACTGTTAAGTTGCCAATGCTAATAAATGCCCCAAGTTAATTGGGACTGAATTTATCACTTGCAACCAAATGTGGGTGGACTAGGGGTGATCCTTTTTTTTTTTTTGAGACAGTCTTACTGTCACCCTGGGTAGAGTGCTGTGGCATCAAGTTCACAGTAACCTCTGACTCTTGGGTTCAAGTGATCCTCTTTGCCTCAGCCTCCTGAGTAGCTGGAACTACAGGTGCCCGCCACAATACCTGGCTATTTTTTCTTCTCTTTTTAGTGTGTGTGTGGGGGTGTCTCGCTCTTGCTCAGGCTGGTCTTGAACTCCTGAGCTCAAGCAATCTACCCACCTCTGGTTATGTTCTAGGGGCCTTCTTCCTTTCTTAATATTTACAAGGAGACCATGTTGGCAGACACATATTGCTTTATTTAGTGTTTCTCTGGATTGCAGAAGTGTCAGGAGTGGCTGAGACCCCTGGAGGGCACAGAGGCAGGTGGGCAGCCCCCAGGTGGGGGGAAGCAGCAGAAAGAGGTGATGCTCTTGCAGCTCCTCCCAAGGCCAGCCCCTTTCCCGGGCTCCCAGGCCAGGAAGGGGTCAGGGGCCAGTAAAGGACCTCCATCCTTGAATGGGGCCATTGTGGGCAGGGTGTTTGTCATCCTAAGGCATGGAGTCAGGCAGAAGTTCTCCTCCCACCTGGTAGCCCCCAAAGATGATTGCTGGTTAGGGAGCCAGATGCAGACATAAGATATGACCTGTGTTTTTATGGGGCTCCCTGCCCTGGGAGTGGCAGTGAGGCATGCTGAAGACAGGGCTACAGTCCCAGTTTTGCCGCAGCTATATGACCTTGGGCAAGTCCCCCTTTGGGCATCTGTCTTCTGCTCTGTAACATCAGGAGGCTGCACTAGATGATCTCTCAGAGTCTTCTGTGTTCTATGGACTAAGACTCCCTTCCCCACTCCAGCACACCTTCAGACCGGGATGATGATATTAAAAGGGCATTCTTAAGGCAGAAAGAAGTGGTCTCAGCCCCTAGGTGGAGGCCAGAGTGGGCTGCAAAATGCTGGTGGGTGGGCAAGGGGGCAGGCAGGCAGGTAGACAGACAAGGTACTATAGGAACGAGGAGAGGGTGGCCTGGCCAGGGAAGAGGGCACCAGAGCCCAGCCCACCCAATCTCTCAGCTACATTCCTTGTCCTATTAGAGTCAAGGAAAACACATCCAGTGTGTCTTGGGGTAGGAAAATGGCTTTTTCAAAAAATAGTTTCCTATAAAGCATCAAAAAATCTCAGAGAAAACCTCGGCAAAATTCCCTTCTCTCAAATATTTGGCATTGGCAGCGGGGCTGGCATGGCTTGCTCTGACCCCAGCTTTCCTATTGCTGTGGCCCGGCCTGGCCCACTCCTAGGGTAGCTCCATGGTCCCTGCTGTCCCCTCAAGAAAGAGGTGGGCAGGAGGGAGGAGTTTGCAGGTGGGCTTTGAGGTGTCCCTGGGTCCCTGTCTGGAAGCTCAAGTCTTTGGTAACTGGGAAGGAGAGGAGAAGATAAGCAAAGCATTAGGAGTTGGGACAGGGTTCAGTGGGCACCTTCATCACCGAGAATTCAGCCGTGGGGCCACCTGTGAGGGCAGAGAGGAAAGTCCAAATGGTAAGGGGAAGGGGCAGAAGGTGCTCTGAGTACTTGCATTCATTCACAGGTTAGATACAGGCAGTACAGGCTGGGGCCTAGTGGCCTGTCCTGGAGACTCTGATTCTACCCCTATAGAATGCCTGGTACCCTGACAGACTGGGCCTCTCCACCCATCTTGCATATCCCTAGTTGCCCCAGATTGTCCCCACATTCTTTTTTTTTTTTTTGAGACAGAATCTCACTCTCTCACCCTGGCTAGAGT